TATATATATGGCTACAATACAATATAACTACAAGTTGTCTAACCATACCAATAAAAGGATAAATATTATCAATTGATTTAAATAACAGGACCCAACCATATGTTGCCTTTAAGAAACACACTTTAAAGCAAGATAAAATAAACAGGATTGCATATTGCAAAAAACAAAAGTATAAACCAATATTCCTATGAATGTGGATACAAAATTGCCTAATAAAATACTAGTAAACCAAACCTAGGGGCACATTAAGAGGATTATGTATCATGACCATGTGAAATTTATCCCAGGAGTGCAGGGTGTTCAACAGATGAAACTAATTAAAGTAATATATCATATTAATAGAATGAAGAGGAGAAAAGCCATATGATGACTTGAATTCTTGAATTAATGCACAAAGAACATTTAACCAAATTCATTTCACAAACACTTAACAAACAAGGAAAAGAAGGAACATCTAAACCATTTAGCAAAAGAAATCATCTAAAAGAAATCTACAGTGAGCACCACACTTAACAGTGAAAGACTAAAAGCATTCCTAAGATCCAGAATAAGGCAAAAATGTTTGCATCTGTCATTTTTATTTAACATTATACTAGAAATTTTAGCCCAGCCAATGAGATACAAGAAGAAAAAAAACCCAAAAGAAAACATTCAGTTCACACACACACACACACACACACACACACTCACACACACACACACAGAGAAGAGAGAACTAGCTATTGGCTACCACATAAGTTTGACAAAGTTGCCTGATACAAAATCAGTGTGCAAAAATCAGTTGTATTTCTATATACCAGTAAGGAACAGTATGAAGAGGAAATAAAGACAGTTCCATTTACAATAGCACCAAAAAGAATAAAGTACTCAAGAATACATTTAACCAAGGAGGTACAAGTGTTGTGTGCTGAAAACAACAAAATACTGCTGAAAGAAATTAAAGACCAAGAAATGCAAATTAACATAACAGTGAGATTCTTCTTACTCCAGAAAGAACGGCTATCATCAAGAAATCAAATAATAGGGCTGGGGATTTAGCTCAGTGGTTTCACCGCCTGCCTTGCAAGCGCAAGAACCCGAATTCGATCCCCGGTACCAAAATAAATAAATAAATAAATAAATAATAAAAATAAAATAAAATAAAGAAATCAAATAATAAAAAATGTTGGAGAGCCTGTGGGGATAAAAGCACCCTTCTACATTGTTGGTGGGAATGTAAACTAATATACAACCACTATAGAAATCAGTGTGGAGATTCCTCAAAAAACTAAAAATAGAAATTCCATGTAACCTAGCTAGTCCTCTTCTAGGTATCTTTCTGAAAGAGTTAAAGAGATCATATCACAATGATCCATGGATACCCATGTTTATAGCTGCATAACTTATAATAGGTAAATCTTGGAAAGGACCTGTATGTCCATCAGGAGATGAATGGATAAAGAAAATGTAATATTTATACACAGTGGAGTACTACTGTGCCATAAAAAATAAATTTTAGTAATTTGTAGGAAAACGGATGCACCCTGAGACCATAATTAAGTGAAATAAATCAGACACACAGCTTAACTATGGCATGGTTTCTCTCAGATGAGAAAACCAAACCATAAATAAATCAAAGAGCAAAATAAAAGATAGATCATAGGAAACAGGGAGAGAGATGTTTTGCAAGTTGTAAAGGACCAAGAGGTAGAAGAAGGGAGAGGGGAAGGGAAAGGGACATAAAAAGACTTAAGGTGTGCTATGTATGTGCACCAACTCCACACCATGGATGTAATGATTGTGTACCAGAAACGTGTACTAATAAAAATAAAAATTAGAAAAAGAGAAAGAAGTAGAACTAGTCTGAGGAAAATAGAGGAACAATGAATTTCTCCAAACCTCATTTTTCAAAAGCAGTGCCTTGGCTGGGAGCGCTGTAGTTCAGAAGTTTAGCCCATGTCTAATGTGCAGGAGCCCCGAGTTCCATCCCTAGCACCGCAAACCAGACAAAACACCCCAAAAACAAAGACAAAAGGCAAGGACTAGCACAGATGCAGAACGACTGGGATGTTCCTACGTTCTGGTGGGAGTAAAAATTCTGAAAACTTCTAGGAGATTTCTTAAGAAGTTAAAGATACATGTGAATCTGGGACCTTGTAAACAGAAATCAAAACCTGTACACAAAGGCTTGTAGCAGCATCATTCATAGGTGCCACGAACAGAAGCTACTAAGATGCTCTCCAGCAGGAGCACCAATAAAACAAAACGTGGTACAGTAATGCCCTGCGGGCGAGGACAGAGCCACTGACACGTGCAGTGGCAGGGATGGTCCTAAAGGCGTTAGGCTATGTGGGGAAAGGAGCCAGTCTCAGGAGGTCACACACTGCCTGATCCCATCCCTAGGGCATTCTTGAAAAGATGAAACAACAGACAGAACAGACGGAGCTGTCAGGATCTGGGTACAAGAGTCGACCAGAAGTCACGAGGGATTTGGGGGTGAAGAGCCGCTCTGTATCCTGCCTGTCATGTGTCTATGACACTGCACTTTTCGAAGCTGATGGGAACGTATATCCCCCAAAGTTAATTTTAATGTATGCAAGTAAAAGTAAATTAAAACTAGATGGACAGCACTACCCTGGCTCAAATGTGGAAGTAGAGACTAACAGTAATCCATGTAAATATACAATTCTTTTCTGTTTACAACTTTATATTTAATCAAATCTTTTCATTTAAATTGTTTGCCATTATTAGTCTTAGTTTTAAAAGGTTAGAAAACTCAGGCTGACAGGAAGAAGAATATGTAATTAGACACATTGAGACAAAAAGAAAACTGTCTCGTGACCGCCTCTCTGTTGTAATCTGCTTTTCCTCTGCTGGTGACAGTGGCCCCAGTGAGGCCGGGGGACTCTCCCTTTGTTTCTCAGCAGGCACCAGGACAGATCGCCCAGTTCAAACCTTACCACACCGATGCTTTCGAATGAGAAGATGGCCGTTCCAAAGAAGAGCGGGTAGGTCTTCCAGCTGGTGGCCAGCGGCAACCGGCTGGGGTCTGGAATGCCCTGAAGGAGAGAGGAAGGCAGTGAGTGAGCTTGCCACTCAGAAAGCACATCAGAGCTCCTGGAGGAGAGAGGTACTCTGGGAGGAGACCTGAATGCTTTTTAATTGAGTGTCGAGATTACTTCAAAAGCAAGTAGGCAATGATCAGCGTGGATTTTAACACTGGCCAATCTGAACACGAGGGCATTGTCAAATCCTGAAGGTCAGCATCTCACGGAGGAAGTTCAGCTCATTAGAAACCTCCAAAGAGAACCCTACACGTCACAGGCTGTGCTGAGCTAAGGTACCCAACAGCATCTGTAAGAGGCCTGTGGCCGTGGCTCTTGGAAAGCACTGTTGCTGTGATTGTAGACTACACTAGGGATCCCAAAGGAAGTAGCTAAATGTGAAAGCCCCTTTCTTTTTCCATGGGCAATAAGTTGAAGGAGAGGCGAGGGTATAGAGTAAATATGCTCTGTACTCTCTGACCCAGAATGTGAAAATAATCACAGAACCATTTTCCTAATTGAATAGTCTCTGGAATTGTCCAAAGCTAAATCAGAAGTAGCTGTCTCATTAGGAAATTCAGTGTTGTAGAATCCATCAGTAACTCCTAAGGAATACAGGACTGATCTGTAGTTTTTCTAAAATGTTTGTTATTTTATTATTTTTATTAAGTTCCCTGGACAATGTAACTTTTATGGTCCCTTGTGGTTTCTGAAAGAGAAAAGCATCTGAAAGTTGTTGGGTATATCAAGGATTTTCTGGAGCTTAAATGCCTATGTAGTGTTGTCTACTATAAGAGAAGAATTAGAAAGACTAGGAAGGAAATTGAAGGAAAATTTAATATCCACAACCCAAAGATATTGTCATTAACATCATAAAAGACTTGTTTACGGTTTTTGAGATTCTGTTTACACTTTGGTCACTAGATATTAGGCCTTTTTCCCTACAGTGTTCCCTGGGGCAATTTTGGGTGCCAGGAATTGCAGCCTAGAGGATATAAGAGTATGGCACAAGAAGCTAATTTTTTTCTGCCTTTTGCTGCTAGCTGGTCATTATAGGGATGGTCTATAGTTTACCAATCAAGATGCTTTCCTTACAAAGCAAATGCAATATTTTTGAAAGCCAGAATTTAACATAAAAACAGGTGTTTGGAAAAGCAACACGAATGAGTATACATCCAGGTGAGCGAGATAGTGCAGACGTCCCTGTGCAAGCAGTTTACAAGGGGGTGGGTGTAGGCCTAAGAGTGAGCAGCACACTTACCCCTCCGTGGGGTGGCCCTCGACACCCAGCCCTTGGTCCCTGACTGGCACAAAGGCCCTGCCCCTGGCGGCATCGGTGAGTGCCATGCACGGACCTGGGTGATATGCTGGGCGATGATGACCAGGCTGACCAGCATGCTAACGTTGGCCAGCAGGGAGAAGATGGTCAGGACCCGGAGGTTCCGGATGAGGACCAGCAGCGACAGGAAGGGCAGGAAGGCAAGCATGTAGAGCCGTGAGTCCATCGTGGGCGTCAGGGTCATTGTCTTGTTATTGTGGCAGTTGTGGGTTGTGCCATTGACAGCTTCTATTACCTGCAGAAGGAATGGGAAAAGCAAGAGAGAAAACAGATCTTCTGACGCATGAGCTCAGCACGTTGCCACAGTCGAACTCCATCATGAAGGAGTCGGGCTGAATTTAGAACTTTTTACTTTAAACCCTGCATACTATACTTCTTCAAAGGAGGCTATGCAAATACATCTGATAAAAATTATTTTAATGACCGGGCTTATGGCAGGTGTTTGTTGGCTTTGGGCACTGATTTATGGTAGTGAATTCTCTCTCACTGCCTAGTGCAGCCTTGGAGGGCCATAAATCACAGCTGATGGCAGGGCCTTTGGCTCAGGCTGGGGCTCTCGAATGTCTCCCAGGAATCGGAATATAAATCTCCAGTCAAGTAACAAAAGGACAGAAATAGAAAAGGGTAAAAATTAACTCTAAAAGTGGACCCTTTGGAAAGAGCCCAATAGCTCTACTGCCCAGCTGCTGGTCTTTTCTGAGAACTGCCTTTAATTTTGCCAATCTCCTGGCACTAAGCACATTTTCTAATCAAATTGCCCCAGAATCTGCTTCTTTGGCTTATTAAAAAAAGACCCACCATTTCCTGTTTCTTAGCTGACCCCAGTGACTGTCTCCTCTTCTTTCTTCACTTGCTTTTAGCCAAAAGGCCGAGAAGCGATTCCTTTTCCTTCTTACTGATTCACTGATTGATGGCATTGCTGGGGATTGAACCCCGGCTTGCATGTGCTAGGCAAGTGTTCTGCCACTGAACTACATCCCAAGCCTATAAGGTTTTTTAATTGGACCAATACTAGCATTTCTTGTTTTGTGTTGCTTTTGTTTTCTTTTTTGAGACCAGGTGTTGGTATGTAGTTCCAGCTGGGCTTGAAATCATTATGTAGTCCAGCCTGGCCTTGAACTCGAAGCAATCTTCTTGCCTCAGCCTCCTAAGTGCTGGGATTACGGGCGAGTGCCACCATACCACACCTGGCCCAAAAGCATTTTAAATAGAGAACTCTTCCTTGTGTGAATTGGGCCATCCACTGAAGAACACTTAACACCCCTGAACACCATCCAATGGGACTATTAACATTCTCCATTCGTTATAATAAGAAAGAGCTGAGAACACCCTGTCCTAATGCATATGCACAGCTCGTACACCCCTCTGGCAGAGTCCTTGGTGAGTGAATGGTAGTTTAGAGTTTGCATGACCTAATTGGTACAAGCAATATGACTGTGCAAGCATTAGAAGTCACCACAGAACAATTAGAACTAGAGTTAAGCAATAAGAAAATATAAAAGCATTGTTAATTTCAGTGTGCATGGACAGTCATGGTGACACCTTGCAGCATATTCATCTATATATTTTCCGTACAATGTCACAAGTTATGCATATGGCACACATTCTTTTTATCTTATAAAATGGCAATCAGAGCACAAACTTATTTTGAAACCCCCTTTCCACTTAAGTATACACTGTGGATACATAAATATGGAGCATTGAGTCTCGTATCTCCATAATACCTCACGACACAGGAGAAACACCTGGAAGATGAGCCAGGCATCCAAGGCCTCTATCCTGGGCCCTGCCCAGACCTCAGGCCTCTTCCTTTCTCTTGGTGACTCCTCCTTCTGTCGGCCATTGAATGGCTTCTCCTGAGCAAGACCCATACAGTCCTGCCTCTAGGTTTCCTCCCATCCCTTCTCCCACCCTGGCTGCCACCACTTTTCCTCCGAGCTGCCCGTCAGTGCCTGGTCCAGACGCGCACCTGTGAGCTCTGCGTGTGCCCATGACTCTGCGCCTTGGCCTCGGGGTGTTGTCAGCGGCAGGCTGATCTGGCACCAAAGTATTACATTGATATTTTGCTTTTATGTTTTAGAACACACCCTGCTTAACCCATAAACTTCTCAAGACAGTCCTTGCCTTGATAATAAACACAGCTGGTAAATAAATGTAGCGAATAATAGCTATAGATAATAATAAAGGTCCAAGACTGCTTTCTGTAGAGCAATCTGGCAGCATGCTTGGATCAGTAATTCCACAGCTTAATATCACAGTATAGTCCAGAAATGGAGCGCTTGCTTAGCATGTGTAAGGTCCTGGGTTCTATCCCCAAAACAAGCAAAAACAACACACAACCAAAAAAGAGGAAATAAACGACTGCACAAAGACTTGTGAAAGACTCATGTGTCACCACAACAGATTATAGACGTAGAAAAACAAAAAGAAATAAATGAAACATCTAGCAGTAGAAGAGTGATCATGTTATGGTCAACCTGTGTGATGAACTATTATGAAAGTATTAAAAATGACATTTAAAAATGTAAGGTCATTGCAAAGTGGTAACCAGTTGCTTTGGTCAGCTTTCTGTCATGATGATGATATAAATGAGATAATTAGCTTTTGAAGGAAAAAGATTCACTATGCCTTATGGCTCTGGAGGGTCCAGTCCCTACCAGTGGCTATGGTGAGGAAGGGTCCACATGGGAGCTTGTGGGGGAGCACGACAGCCCATTTTGTCAGGCCAGTTCTGTGGGCTTACTAACATTTTCACATTTCTAAGATTTTGGTATTACTGTTAAAAGAAGAAAAAGAGCTCTAAAAAGTAGCCTTTCTTGTGTAAGCTATTGATTAAGGATGGCCTCTGTTATTACCCATATTCTTTTATTCTAAGTTCTGTAAGATAACTTCTAGGTTAGATCAGGACTTCCTGAGGATGAGCACCATTAAGTCGTTGGTAAATAACTAAAGGTAGATAAAGATCCCCCAAAGAAGATTAGGCATCATGTGTACACACACAAACAGACACACACACACACACACACACACACAGAACCCCAATTTTTGAAACACTATTAGGGTTAAGTTCCAAAACAAGAGGGCTGACAAACTCCAAGGGTCCTTCCCACTCAGGATCTTAGAGGTCCACCTCAAGGAGGAGTCCAAGGTCCTCGGCAAAGGGTACCATGGCAAAACTAACCACATGCACATGCCCAGACGCCTCCCTGGGCTGGAGGCTGGGCTCTCTGACAAATCCAGTCTCTAAGGGGGACACAGGACTCAGATGAAGAAATGTGTGACTACCAGAAGAGCCTGCTTTTCCATGCTTCCTCCACCATCTTTTCTAGAAGAGTGTACCTGTTTTAAATTATCAGCCAGAAATACTATGTACACACAGCAGAAACCCAGCTGGGTGACCACAAGGAAGACGCTCACGATGTGCCTGGAAGAAAGGAAAAGAGACAAACTTGTGATAAAGAAGCTGACTCTTCAGTTCTACTCCTCGACCTTGTGCCCTGTCCCCAGGACTTGGTGGCCCTGTACCAGCACCCTCGTCTTCCCACCACAACCAACGAAGGGGCAGTAAGAATGAAGTAACAATAGTTCTTTTTAAAAAGTGGTTCTCTAACACGCTCACACTCTGAGCACAGTGAATGGTAAAATTCTTCAAGCCCAGAGCTTCCCCCACCTGGCCCTGCGGCATTCCTTTCCTCTCCGTGGTTACTGCTGAGGCAGGGCAGGAAGCGCAATGTTTTACTAGCTGTCCTTAACATGTAAAGTATTCTTCCTCCCACGTGCCAGACACCCAGTTGGGCAGTGAGGACACGGAAGTGACACATGGCCCTCCCGCTGGTGCCTCGCAGGCTAGTGAGAGGACAGAAATGAGCCTGGGAGATTATAACGTGGCATTAAGGGCCACGGCAAGAAGGACATTTTATCCAAATTATGGGAAGACAGAGAACCTTCTCAGAAAAACCGCTGCCTGAGCAAGTCCCTAGGGAAGGAGAGAAACAGAGACAGAGACAGAGAGGCAGAGACAGATGGAGACTGGCAGAGAGGCAGAGGGAGAGTACAAAGAAGGAGAGGAGGAAGAGGAGCAGGAAAAGAAGAAAGCATCTCAGCAGAGGGAGCAGACAGATTTCGTGAGCTGCTGTGTGTGGAGCCCGCTGGAGGAGAGAGAGGAGCTGGAGGAGATTCTTGCAATAATGGAGGAGAAATGGGCCCGGGGATTGAGCTCATTGGTGCTGCTGCCTGCCAAGGTCCCGAGTTTGGTCCCCAAAAGACAATACTAATAATGGGGGAGAAAGAAGGCAGCCGCCCGGACGGAGATGGCATCAGGATGAGAGAAACACTTGAAAAGATGCTGGGAAACTGGAACTCGCGGAATCTGAGAACCGCCTACTTCCGGGCTCAAAGGGAGAGCGAAGGCCAAGAGGACTTAGGGCTTCTGACCCAGACAGGGGAAAGGGGAAACTGGGAAGGAAGAGCACGTTTGAAGGGACAGGGAAGCAGTGATGCATCCAGTGCCTGCGTTGAGCTGGAGTCCACTTCAGGAGACAGCAGACAGCAGCCAGAGCCCCGAGGCAGCCAGTCAGCATCGGAGAGAGGAGGAGGAGGTGGTGCACTAGACCCCGGGACCACCGGTGTTTCACAGAAACCAAGACACGCTCAGCACACAGCAGGGGACGGTCAGAAAGCCAGGACAGAGATGAGGGGCGGCGCGGGGAGAGGACGCTGGGAGAGCAGCGAACCTAACCGTTCCCTCCGCGACGAGTTCTCAGGCCAGGGAGGGCAACAGCGAGGTCTTTAGGGCGCCGAGGAGAGAGCTTCCTGCAGGTGTGGGACAGTGAGACCAGGCAGCGACAAGGGTGTGAGGACCCGAGGAAAAGGAGGCTCTTCCTTCACCAGCGGGAGAGCGCTCAGTCCTGGCGGGATCTGTCTGGCTCCTCCCTGGGGACTACAGCACCGCCTGACACATCCTGCGATTCAGGAAGTGCTGTGTGAACAACCGTATGTGGCATATAAGGTAGGATGATGGCTGTAGGCTGCTGTAAGGTCCAGGAAGGGTTATTATTATTATTACTGTTATTATTAAATAATGGGGATTGAACCCAGGGCCTTTGCACTAAGCTACATCCCCATTCCTTTTTCTATTTTTTATTTGGAGACAGAGTCTTGCTAAGTTGCCCAGGCTGGGCTTGAACTCGCAATCGTCCTGACTCAGCCTCCCAGAGTGCTGAGATTACAGGTGTGCCCCGCCACACCTGCTTTAATTTAATCAAAATTTTTTCTAGTATTGGGAGGGATAGAACCCAGCTCCAAGCTCAAACGAGGCTTCTGAACAGGCATAGAACCACTTCCAGCGAAGAGGTGGGCACCTCTGGACTGCCATACCACTGCTCCCAGCGCAGAGGAGTTTCCGGGTTGCTGCCCTGCCGCGCCCACAGTGGAGGAGGCATGTGGGATGCCGTACGGCCTCTCCCAGCTTGTAGAACACTTCCGAAATGGCTCAGAACCGCTCACAGCGAACAGGAGAATGCTTTTGGTCCACCATACCACATCTCCTGCCACGGATAGAACCCACTGGACTCAACCAATGAGCTACACCCCCAGTCATTTAAAAATTTTTAATTTTAAGACAAGATTTTGCTGAGTTGCCCTGGCAGCACTTAAACTTGTGATCCTCCTGCCTCAGCCTCCTTCAGTGTGGGGATTATAGCCATGTACCACCATACCTGGCTAACTTTATTATTTTTAAGATGGAAATGCGTGAACATACTGAAACGCTGAGCAGCAAGGCCTACAGCAGAGACGTTACCGTAAAGGAGGTAGTTAGAGGCACGAGGCCCCGTACGGAGCAGAAGCTCCCTTGTACCCCAACAGTGAGCAGAAGAAGGGGCCGTGACGGCCGAAGCCGCCCGCCGGTGACGCCGCTGTCCCCCCGTCTCCTTGGTCCGCTCAGAGGCTGAGCTGACCCCATCCGTGGCGCAGCCTGGGCCTCAGGCAGGCGGCACCACCGCGGCCTGCAGACGGCCATTGCGGGCGGGGCCGCGGCGAGGGCGGCAGGCCTCGGACCGGCAATGGCGAGGTGCCGGCGGGCCTCACGGGAAGACTGGGGTGCAGGCTCAGCCTCAGTACCAGAGGACGGAGGCGGTGACTCGGCGTCACCCCAGGGGACTGCTCAGGGAGGAGCTCAGCCCAGCAAAAGGCCCTCGCAGCCTCGGTCCCTTCCTCCCCTCACGGCCATCCTTTCTCTCAGAGAACTCTTCCGCCCTGACTTCGTGTCTCCTCCTGGAGCGGGGCTCAGCTCCGGGCGCCTGCCGGACAGCTCCACAGCGCGCCATCGGCCCGGTCAGCCGGATCCTCCCTTTCCTCTCGGCCCGGGACCCAGTCCCCGGCCACGCCAACACTTCCTCCCTGCCACTGCCACCGGCGTGGCCAAGCCGCCTTCGCCACCGTGTGGTCACGGTCCGGCCCCTCTCGGGTCCGACTAAGTCCGCTCTCCCTCCCTCGCAATCTCTTCTCCCTGTCGAAGCTGGACAGATCTTCCAACCATGCAAACACGGTCACTTTCCTGCTTAAAACTCTCCAGTGGCTTCCTGGTTGCTTTCAAGAAAAGCACACTGGCCAGAGATTTAGCTCAGTGGTTCCGCCGACCTGGATGTGCGGCCTGCTTGGCCCCTGGCTCCTTCTCCGGCTTCACCTCCTGCCGTCCACCCTCCGGCTTCCTGGTCTTGCTGTCCCTGCACTGTCCCGCGTACCTTGCTGCTTTGCAGCCTCACACCTGGTCTTCCTTCTTCCTGGACGGTCAGCCAGGGCCCTGCCTTCTTTTCCCCCAAGTGACTCCTTGTTCTTTGCGGTGTCTTCCTTAGAATGCCTGGCCCTTCCATGCCAGGGAGCCCCTTCCACTCGCACCCCACATCGGGCGGTAAGAACTACTCCTCTCTGTGACATTTATCCTGGCGGTTACTGATGAGCTCTGTGACAGCAAGGCCTGGTGTTTGCCTCGGTCCCTGCAGCATCCCAGGACCCGGCACAGGGGAGCCCTTGGACGAGAGTGGTTTAATCTGAGCGAGTAACTTGAGTAACTTCAGCCGTGTCTCAGTGGACTGAGCACCCTCCCCGGAGGCGAACAGGCAGCAGTCTGGCCAGCGAGCCCTGCCCGTGGAAGGCCTGACATTCTGTGCCACACAGGCCACCTTTTGGGGACCCGCCCCCAGCAGCAGCATTTCCCTGCCCGGTCCCCCCTCACAGGACACAGCCCAAGGCCGAGCAAGATACCTCCCCCAGTGGGCGCGGCTCCGGAGCCAGACGCTGGGGCTGGCTTCCAGTCCGAGCATCACCGTCTCCCCGTAGTCCATAAAGGGCTTGTTGAGCCTGCAGGAGAGAGCACACGTGCAGCCACACGTCACACACTCACGTCCGACACCAGAGCAAGGTGGGACACAGCGGAATGTGTGGGGCACAGTGGCCACAGGCCGAGGTCTGATGCTTGGACCCCTGGCAGTCACCCCATGGCGCTTCTTCCCTTCACGGTAACTGCCTCGGGCACAGCTAGAGTAACAGCAAGGCCTCGCAGGGTATGGCAGGCTCCATAGCCACAGAAACCCCTGGCCACTCAGGGTGGGGCAAGGGCCTTTGGCTCCAGTTTACAGGGGGCCAGCAGGTAAGCTCGGTGACCGCCTACGCTGAGCTCCCAGCCCTGGAATGCTCTTCTTTTCTTGCCCTTCTTGGGGAAAATGAAGAAGTAATTTTTTCTTTTTGTACTGGGGATTGAACTCAGGGGCTTCGCACCGAGTTGTATCTCCACCCCTTTTGCTTTTGAGCCAGGGTCTCATTGAATCTCTAAGCTGCCCAGGCTGCGTTCAAACCTGCGGTCCTCCTGCTTCAGCCTCCCAGAGTGTACCCCCTACATGTAGGGTGTGTCTGGGTTGCCCTGAGAGCCAGTACCTGTGGAGTTGCCCCGGGGCACTGTGCTCCTCACCTTCGGCAGAAGTGCTGGGCACACCTGACCAGGATGTGCATGCAGTGGCAGGCAACGAAGCCCATCACCAGCAGGCTGAGTGGGCCGACCTGGAGGACAGCAGGCGGGTGGCCAGAGAGAAGAGAGCAGACTTACAAAGAGCAGTGAGTCAGTCGCACAGGTACCACTGGAAACAAAGAGCTTCCACCAAACTGTTTCCAAGCCATTTTTAGCAGGAACAGCTATTCTTTCAAATGTAATCCCAGGTAGACTTCTAATAGAGTGCAGAAAGCAATCCAGCGGGACTCTGTGGGAGTGGGGGACCCAGGATCCTGGCCACATACCCCCTTGGTGACCTCTGTTGGTGCGCCCAGAGAGACCCAGGCTCTGCAGAGCACAACTGGAGAACTGGTCATAGCCCAACCCTTGTGTTTGACAGAGGAGACAGGCCTGGGAGTGGCCCGGCGACTTGCCAGGACCACAGGAGCCTGTGGCAGAGCCAGAACTGAGCCCCGGGCTGGCAGGCTGAGTCCAGGTCTGGGCCACCTAGCCTCCTGGAGAGGCTGCCACTGCAGAGCATCCTACACTGTCAGAGCCCCGCCTACTCTGTGCCACAGCGGCCGCCCTCTTACCAGGATGCCTGCGTTCTTCACTGCCAAGGGGAGGCCCAGGACCCCTGTGCCCATGTTGCCCTTCACCAGGTGAACCAGGGTCTGGAACGCTCTGCAGGGGAGGACGGTGATAGGAGGTGAGAGATTCGGCAGCAGCAGGTGGACCCCGGCTAAACTGGGCAGCGAGACTCCTGGTCCCTTCTTGGTCCCCGAGTCCCTCCCTGGCCCATCCGGGTCCCTCTAGGGGGCCAACTACCCCACTTTACCCAGAACTGCTCCCATTTCCGCAGCTAACACTCAATACACGCCCTTGCAGTGCTCACCAGATGAGACACCATGCTAGGCACTGTATACTTATTTCATCTGTTTATCTTCTTGTCAAGACTATGAAGTCTTTGCAGGTGGAGAAACTGAGGCAGGGAGATTTCTAAAGATGATTTGTCCAAGGATATAATTCAGAGCCAGGATTTGAACCAGGGCGACGCCAGGTGCTGTTCTGCATGCTCACTCGTGCTGCGCTCCCTTCTGAGGCCCAGACAGTGAGTAAAGGGGCGGCCCTGTTTCATCAGGGAGGAAACTGAGGCTCAGAGCTGGGGCAGGTCCTAGATCAAGGTCACAAACTAATGGTAGAAACAGGGAAAAGGGAATGGGGCAGGCTGGAAGCAGAGTCACCGTGACTTCTGAACAAACAGGGCAGATGACATTGGTCCTTTGGGGATTGGGCTCCAGAAGGTTTTTTCCTCTCAGCTGGGGAATGGCGGTCCCCACCCCCAAACAGAAATGGAAACACCCACTCTTTCATTGAGACCTCGGTGAAGGTTGGTCCAGAGGTCACGGACTCTAAAGTTCTGGGGAAAAGCTCTCAGCGGTGGATCACAAAGCAAGCCTACTTCTACTCCTCGAAGCTGCACCCGAGGTAAGCCCTGGGTTTACGCCCACGACTAGAGAAGCCTTGGGAATCCCCCAGAGGTGCCTTCTAGGTAGGAGACAGTCTGAAAAGCAGCAGGGCTTCTGGAAGGAGCCTGTTCTTTGGAACTGGACCAACCAGGGGTTAAGACTCAAAGCCACTGCTTAAGGGCACTGTGCTCAGCTTTGGTGAACCCTGCAGGTGCTAGGAATAATGAGATTTGGAAAGGACTGCCCCGAATCCCCCGTCTCTACGTTAAACCCTTCAGTCCTCCAGCTTGACGAGGGTTACAGAGAACAGCTGGGGAGGAAGGGGGTGGAGCGTCCAGTGCCCGCATGCCTGTCCCCCTTGCTGTGGGCGTCAACATTGCTGACTGCGCGGCCGCCGACGCATGCACCCTGTGGCCCCCTCTGATGGGCTTGTTTGGCAACTGGGAAAAGGTGAATGGGCCACTTAGGAAAGTTCTAACTAAAGGACTTCGGAAATCAGAATTTAGCTTGTGGCCACCCACAAGCTAACTCAACTTCTAGTCATGCAAGACTCTGGATGGCAGCCAGAAGGCCCGGGCTCTAGACCTAAATCCTTCTGTGACCGTGGGTCATCATCACCGGAGTGGACAGGCACTGCGGGGCCTTTATGTTGTCCAGGAACCTGAGGGCCCAACCCGAGAGGACTGAGCTATCATGTCACGGCCGCAGGGAGGTTCTGTCACTTGCTCAATCAAGGGAGTAAGCAGCTAGTGGGGATTCCAACCAAGGGGCTGAGCCTACAGGTGTCACACTGACCTGGCCACCGGGCTTCAAGATCCCCTCTGGCTCCCACTTGTGAAATTGTACCAAAACCAGGTGTCCGTTTAGGGCACCAGAGCCTCTGTCGGAGAAAGACCCCCGTGCAGCAGAGGCTGCGCCCCCAGAGTGGCCCAGCAGGGAGCCATGGAGAGGGGCGTCCTCTCAGACACCGTCTCCCTCCCGGCTGCCCGGCCTCTCATCCCCACGTAGTTTCCATGAACGTCAGTCAGCCTTTAATTCACCACACCGAGTCTGACAGCAGGGAAGCAATAAGAGGTGCCACTCGGACTTGGGCCTTCTGACTCTCCGTCCAGTGCTCTTTCTACTGCCACGGTGGTGTCCCAACCTCCTCCTCACAGCGGCAGCGCCACCCCACCTTCCTGCCCAGCGCCTCTTCTCCTCAGGTGAACTAGCCGAACTGGTTCATCAGTGGGGTCAGGTGCAGGAAGGGGAGCTGCAGCCCTGGCGCACTCGGAAAGCCCCGTGCACGTCCTCCAGTGGCCCTGCCCTAGGGAGTGGGGAAGCCAGTGACCCACACACTGCTTCCCGACGTCGCACTGCAGCTCTCGGGAAGGAGCCCTGCTCGCTGCCAGAGGAGGCCGTGCTTGGCTGTCAGCGAGGCCAAGAAGCCGGGATGCGACTCCCTCCTCGGGGTCAACACGACTGGTCAGGAACAAAACCCTGACTTCAGAGCCAGCCCTCGGCTCTAGCTGCTGACCTCGGGGCTCCGTGTACAGCCTGGCAGTTGGGCCTTAGTTTCCCCATGTATCCCCCTAAGGGCTTTTCTGTTCCCTCTCCTGCCCCTTCGTCCGTCATTCGACACAGCCTCCGACTGCACCCCGGCCTCCTTGGTTTCCCATCCACACAGTGGGCTGAGGACCAGACACGGCCGCCTCCAGGTCCTGGCTAATGCACAACATCCGGGCTGGAAGGCAGAAAACAGCACTCACGTTATTCCCTTGGTCTTCTCCAGACCCGAGGACTCTGAGGAGCTTCCGTCTAAGAAACCGGAATCCTTGTTCTGCAGCTTCTTGGTACTTTTGGGAGACGGCATAAGGTCCAGTTTGAGGGTGGCAGCTTCCTGGGGGCCCTCGGCATTCTTTGTCACAGGCATGACTGCTTCGGAAGAGAGAGCTCAGGCTGGGAGGGGGCAGTGGGAAGAGTGACCAGTGCAGGTGCAAGCCCAGCTCTGTGGCTTATGCCCAGCCTGCTCTGGCCAGGCTGGAATGGGGCCCCGCCTCCTCCTCCAGCCCGGAGAAGCCAGTGGAGGAGGGACTCCTGGGAGGAGGAGGCCAGGGAGGAGGAGGCCAGGGCGGAGGATTTGGGAAGGGGTCCAGAGCGTTCCTGCTATCACCCAATGACAGGGATGGCAACGGCACTCACAACCTGGTGGTTTCAATAGCTAAGGGATGGACACTCCTCCACCTCTCCTCCACCTGTTTCATCTGTATTTTCTCATTAATCCTATAAGTAACTGAGGCTTTGTAGTAAAGGCATCTGGCCGGGATCATACTAGAAAGTAACAGAGTTGGGACCAGAGCCCAACCTGTCAGGGTTTTGAACTGATATCCTGTCTCTGCTCCCAAGAAAACAGCTGCAGATCCCTCTTTCTCTGTGCATCTCACAGTCCTGGGCCGCCCCCGTGGGCTTCCGCGGTCTGCTCTAAAGCTTCCACCTGGGAGCTCCCCTTCCTGAGGTTGGAAGGAAAAGGAAAAGGCCCTGCCCTCCTAACTGCACTTCAGCTGTGTACGGCGCCATGGCTAGAAGACGGGGCTGCTCAGGAGGAGGAGGCGGCAGAGATCGAGCAACTCCCAGTGGCCTTTTATTGGGCAAGATGTGGCTGCAGGAGAGGGTGTGACCTGCTGAAAGTTACATACGACTTTGAGGACAGACCTCTGTGGCTAGACAAGGCCTTTAGCGTTTCTCTGATCCCTTTCTCTGTCATTATCTCTGCTCAGTGCAGATGAATGAACCAAAATTTCCTCTCCCCACGGAATCATAGCATTTTACTCCAGCCACAGCACCCTTCCTCACAATCTCATTCCCAGCACTGACATTCCCTGAAGGCTTCCTGTGCACTTTTGCTGAAATCGTCTCGCTGCTAAATGGTAGGTCTAGGACAGAGTTCTCGGCCGCTCCCTGCCATGAGGCTTCATGGAAGGTCTCGTGTGCAATTCTGAATTTGTGATTTTGTTGCTCCTAAAGGATACTCTTCCTTTCCCTAATTGCTCCTCCTGCCATACCCAGTGGCATAAGCCCCAGGCTCCCCAAACCTAGCTACTTCTGGGTGGCATCGTTACATCATTTCTGCACACGTGGAAACTGAGGCTCAGAGTGGTGAGGAATAGCTGGCCAGAGGTCACAGCCAGTACTTGCCAGACCCCAAACTCCGGCCGGTCTTGGTTTAAACGCTGGCCCCGCCCTCCAGAAGCACTCGGTGTGGTTTGTGAAATGTCCTCTCTTACCTTCTCTGGCGCCATGCAGCAGGGCTATTCCTGGTTTTCTAGTAGCCGCTGTGCTCTGTAACTTGCAATTGAGATTCCACACTTTGAGTCTAATCTTAGATCCTGCCTCACTGATAGAAGTTGTTCCAGCTCGAGCAATACGACCAATAAAGCAGAATTGTCAAGGGCTTGTGAGGTTTGCAGATGAGTCAGACTCTGCTTTCCTCTCCAGATCGAGAGGGACCTTGAGTTCATCTTCAGACCCTTTGGAAGGAGGCTGCTGGAATCCCTCCCAGACATCTTCAGCGAAAAGTGACTTTGCTGGGCAGGGCTCGGGCTGCAGACCCTCAACTCATAGCCAGTGCTCAGCAGGCAGGAGGGCGTCTCCTAGGGTGTGGCTCCAAAATCAGCCTTTCCAACATCACTCGGGCCTCTGGAGCTGTGGGTTCCACTGAGGATCCACCAGGAAGCCACTGGATCCTGAGAAGGGCGCTGTCCCTCCTCCAGCCCCAGTTCCCCTTTGTGAAGCGGGTATGAGGTTGTAGAGATGACTTCCAAGGGCCGAGGACTGAGGGACCTAGATGGGGTCCTGTGTAAAGCTGGGGTGCAGGCTCAGCCTTCCTTGGGCAGGGCTGAGCAACGGGAGGGGACAGCGGCATACCTGACAGTTCTGAAGAAAGCAGGACAGAGGATATTTAATTAATGGTGCTAATTTTCATGACCCTGTGGCCTTATCAAAGAGCCTATTTCTTTCACCCTTTTGTAATAGTTTTGAAACTTGGCATATATAAAACAGTCCGTTAGGGGAGACAATAACACAGGCTGAGACTTGCAGTGGCATGGAGCCTTCAGTGTTTACTGAGTTCTCCAGGTGACTCTGATACTGACTAAAATGTGGGCTTCGCTGTTTGGTGCGGTGGGAGGCGTTGCCCACCCTGTGCTTCGGTGGTGCCAGGGACTGAACCCAGGGCCTTCGGCATGTGAGGCTGGCACTCTGCCACTGAGCCACACCCCAGTGCTTCCCCCCAGCTTTTACACTGACAGATAATAATAATTATACCTCCATGGAGTAGGACGTGATGCTTTGATGGTTATACATTGCCTACTGATCGACTCAGGATATTTAGGTTACTTATCATCTCAAACATTCCTTACTTCTTTGACATGAGAAAGTCAAAATCCTCTCTTCTAACGTGGTGTATTCACACAGTGGGGTATTATTGTCATAAAGAAAAATAAATTATGTCATTTGCAGAGAAATGGGTGGAACTGGAACCATCATGGTAAGTGAAATAAAACAGACTCACAAAGTTAGATTCCGCATGTTTTCTCTTATGAGAGACCAAATAAATGAATATAAAGAAGAGATGACAAAAAACTAGAGGTGACTTTTGAGATAAGGAAGGGGATCAGCAGTGGGGAAAGAGGGTCACAGGAGAGAAAGAGATCAAGACAGGCTGGATATTTACCAAATACCAAAGTGAACTGCCCAATCCCTATTGCCCACATGCACTAGTAGTGATAAATAACTCCATATCCCCTCTTCTAGATATCTTAAATTGCACAGCATTGTTGACGCTCATCATTTCTGTGGAAGAGAGCACTGGAATTCTTCCTCCTGTCCAGGTCAGGCTCTGTACCTGCTAACCAATCTCTCCCTGGTCCCCTCCCCAGCCTCTGGTAACCATCCTTCTGCTCTCTACTTCTGTCTGTTTTTAAGAGTCCACCTATGGAGGAAATTGTGTGATATTTGTCTTTCTGTGCCTGGCTGGCTTCACTTAACATCATCCTATTGCCACAAACAACAAGATTTCATCCTTTTTGTGGCTAACTAGCATTTCATTGCGTATACCTACCTCATTTCCTTTAGGCATTGCTTCCCCACCTCGTCTATTGTAAATAGTGCCACAATAAGTCTTTTTTAGTTAGAATTAGACAGCCTAGGCAGAAAGCTAAAAAATTACTCACCTGAGGCTGTGTGATCGGTGGGTATGAATACCAGACTGGTACGCAGATGGGAGCTCATCACTCCATCCCTGTTCCCCATGAGCCTTCCCGGAGTCCGTGGCTGCATCCTCGGCTGCCCTTTCTGCACACCCTCAGGGAGTGGTACTAACCCTAGGCGTTGAGTCCACCAGGCAGCAAGTGCTGGAGTGCGTGTGTTACATGAGACGGGCCCTTCTCACCCATCTACACATGCAGAAACAAAGGCTCCAAGCGCCCCTCGTGCGCCTAACAGGGCCCAGTCCGTCCAGAGGCAGACTCGAGCTCCAGACCCCAAGGAAGGCGCCTCGAAGCTGCAGGTCAGGCATCTCTGTGATTCTCTCCCGTGCAGTGCATGGTGGAGACTCGAACACAGTTAAAAGCCCTTCCACTTGCACCGTTTATGTGGTTCTGGACTTTGGCATTTCGGGCACCAATCAATTTCCAAATAATCGTCAGGGACTGGCACATAAGGCCAATTCCCGTTTCTCTCTGTAAGCACCTTTATAGCATCTCTATTGTTTTCTACAAGATGGAGCATTTCAGTCCCCTCAAGGGGGGAAGACATATCCTCGGGATAAAGACAGCATCTTAATGTTACCTTCCTCATCCCTTTTGGAGATTGCCACCCCCTGCCGTAGTGTTCCTCGACTATGAAACGGTGATGGATGGGTCTGTAGGCAGGAGTGAGGGCTGAAGGAGGAAAGGACAAAGTATGGCTCCCAGGGAAGAGTCAGTCCCCAGAGGACAGCCACGGTTACCAGCTCATCCTACCACCAGAGGGAGCTTCCGAGGGCTGGAGGTGGAGCTGTACGATTTACTGACTGGGCAACCGAGGCCCAGGGAGAGGAAGGGACACCGTGAGTGAATGGCGACTTGAGGGTGGAATTGGGATTGTGACCCGGGCTGGTCCCTTGAGTTCTGAGCCCCATTGCTTTCACCACTTCTTAGAGCTCTGACTGCAAGATGAATGGAAGATTCACTCATTGCTTACATCAGCCCTTGGTGAACCCCTGCCACAGCAGGAGTGGGGAAGTGGCTTCCTGGGTATAGCTGTGAGAACAGTTCCATCAGCTGGTGGTCTAAATGACAGTTACTCTCTCACGGTTCTGGAGGCTGGAACTCCCTGGCCGGGCTCTTTGGGCTCAGTTCTGGGGAGGACCCCCTCCCGCCTTCTCCCTCCGTCCTGTGGCCTTTCCTTGGTGCGTGCACATGACAGGGTGGGCCCTTTCTCACCAGTGTCTCTTCTTCTAAGGACTCTAATCTGTCAGACTGGGGACTCATCCTCCTGGCCTCAGATAACTACTTGCTTCCTTAAAGGCCCCAGTTACAAATACAACCACCTTGGGGTTAGGGCTTCAACATACGAATGTTGGCAGACTAACATATTCAGTCCCTAACACTCTGTGAGCTGGCTCACAGCCTAATGGGGAGGCAGTGAAGGTTCGGTAGAGGACACGGTGTCCTGGTTTAAATATGAATTGTCCCCCTAAGGACTCACGTACTGAAGCCTTGGTTCTCCACGTAGCAACGTTCAGAGATGGAGCCTGGAGAGGCAAGTGGACCGTGAGGGTCCTGACCTCATCAATGGATGGATCTATTGACATTGATAACCAAATAGGCTATTAGGATGGGGTCCAGTTTGAGGAAATAGGTCCTTCAGGGGCATTCCTTCAAAGGCACCTTCTCGTTCTCTTTTTCTTGGCTCTTCCCTGCTCTCTGCTTTCCTCCATTGTGCCTTCACCGTGAAGTTTCTGCCTTTGAGCCAGTCGACGACGGTGGACTGAAACCTCTGAGCCAAAATAGACCTCTCTTCTTTTCAGTTGTGTCAGTATTTCATCCCATCAGTGGGAAGGAGACTAATACAACAGTCTAACGGGGAAGTGAACAAAAACCAAGGACATGCAATTACAAATTGCAGCTCATTGAGGGGAATGAACTTGCTGCAGTTATGGAGGATGATAGGGAGGAGGCGGCCCCTGGGCCAAGACTGGGAAGGGAGGCAGCTGCGGGCAAGCTGGGGGCTAAGTGTTACGGATGAGGTGCAGGCAGTGTGGCCTGGGAGAGCGGGTGTCAGAGAGAAGGCTGGGGGACCGTGACAGAGTTCCGGGAGCCAAAGGCGCCAGGGTGGCTGAGTCCTGTGAGTGTGGAGATGGGCCTCAGACAAGGGCAGAGGCCGGCCGGGACGTGCAGTTGTGACACAGAGTTTGCGTGTTGGGTCTGTAAGGAGAACGGGTGACCAAAAAGAGGGAGGAGCAGGGAGTCCTATGAGGAGGCGATGGCTGACGGAAGGAGTGGTGTTGGGGCCTGGGCTGCTGCGGAGCTGGTGGAGATGGAGAGAGATGGGGGGAAGAGGCAGGAGGAGAGCGACACACACCAGGGGCCCATCCAGTGGCACAGCCTTTGTCATGTAAGTCTGCTCTCCAAACGTCCATCTGACCCGCTGTGGCATTTGTAAAACTGACTCTATCCCTCAGAAGCCCTGGTGTCTAGTTGTTGGAGTTGTTAGGGACGCGAAGAAGAGTCAGACCACGAGAATGCAGTTACGTGGGCGAGCAGAGGGCTGCAGCTCACAAGGAGAAACAGCAGCTCGTCTCTGTGGCCCGCGTCTTTGATTGAGGCGGTGTACAATGCGAGAGCATGAGACACGTGGGAGTTTTACAACCAAGGCCTTGAGGCTGTTTTCTTAGAAATAACATCTTGAAAGCTTTCATACCTAATCTTGAGCTTTCCCAAAGCAGAATACTCATCCCCTCGGGAGTCAAGGTCCCAGGAACAGAAGGCGCGTCACGTGCAATGCTCCCTGGATGTTATCTCCCATGCCAGAGAACATCTGCTGTTCCTGGCACCGTTTTCCCAGAGTTCACCCTAAACAACATTCTTCTCTGCATCTAGTTACATGCTCGTGTGTGGGCACGGGCTCTGACACACTCCTAGGTTTCTGATCTTGTGGCAGAGGTGGGTTGGGGAGGGAGAAGAGGTCATTGTCCTCCC